ACCAAACCCCAAAGCTGAAGGAGCCAGAGGATTCACAGCACACCAGAACAGGCCTGGGGTTGAGAGCCTCATGCCCAGCGCCAGGGCTGAGCCTCCTCTCCAGGGAAGTCGTGTCTCATCAAGCCTTGGCTGAGCGCTGGCCCAGGCTGGGGCTTGCCCAGCTTCCCAGGGCAGCCTAGCCTGGCTGGTGACTAATTAGCCATGATTAATAATCACCTCTTCCCTCCATCATGGCCCTTCTGCTGGCACCCACTCATTTGGCACAAAGCCCCTTGGGTTCCCTTCCCTAGGTGACCCCAGTGCTGCACCAAAGGTGGTCAGAACTGCTCCAGAGTCACCAGGGATGGACAAGGAGCCTCTCATGAAACCTCCAGGTTTTTGGGAGCTGCCTCCAACTACAGCAAACAGCCAACCTGTGCATTCCCATTTGGAGATCCACTGAATTTGCCCCATCCCAGTTCATCTCTACTGTTTAATTAATCACAAACAGGAATTCAGGGGAGGGTGGCTGCTCTAGGACAGAACACAGCCATTAAATAAAATATAAACACCTCATCCATACTTAACATTGGGTTTGATCTACACTGTTTTCCTTTCCTTTTTCAAGGTGATTTGCAATTTCTTTGGTTGCATTTTGGGAAGGGGAGGGCTGACTTACTGCATAATCTCATTTTTGATCTATTATTAAATGCCTGCTTTCTTTTTTTCTTTTTTTACCCTTTCTCTAGGAAGCCAGAAGCCCCAGCAGGAATTACAGCCAGAAAGGGAGGTGAACTGTGAAATGAAAGCTGCAAGAGAAAGAATTGCTTGGGCTTTTGTTTGAAATTTTCAGAGTTTTCTGATTTTTGGTTGGAAGAAATCTCAGATTGGCAAACCTAGGCCAGAGCCAGGACTCAGTGGAAGTCTGGGACAGGATCACAGCACATGAGGGCAGTGGCGCTCAAGGCAGCCAGGAACATCAGATTTTTTTTTTTTTTTTGCCATTTTGATACCATCTGAAGGTGGGTCTGTTCCCAAGGCCACGCTGGAGATGCATCAGGGCTGGTGAGTGATTTTCATCACCCTTTTTGCCTCCTCCCAGCCCCTCTCCATTGCTGGCAGCAATTCCTCTTTCTGCCCTATTTCAGAACTGAGGAGTTTCTCCTCTTTGGCACCAGGACCCGCTCCCACCTCCCAGCCAGCTGAGTCAAAGGCGAGCCTGGCTTTGCTGCCAGCCCCTGCTGAGAGCTGGATGCTCCCCTTGCCACGGCAGCCACTTGGCTGGCCAGCACACGGTCCCCTTGTGGAGCCACACGGCCAATCTGTGTCCCCCAGCTCCCCCCGATATCTGCAGTGCACACAGGCTCGTACAGAGATCAGCCACAGGCACCCCCAGAGAAGGGCAGATCCTCGTTAACATTTCCTTTTAATTGAATTGATTTGTTTAACAATTTCCTGTTAATTTCCTATCATAATAATTGCCTTATTAACTAATAGGAACAAAGCCATCATTTAAACACCAGGAATGTGACTCAGTGACTGTCACAGCCACCAAAGCTATTTTTTGGGAAAATAATAGTTTTTTGAGTGCCTTTGTTTTTAAAGAGTGGCCCATGCAAGCAGCTGAGAGTTTTGCAGCTGAACTGGGCAAGTTCAGACTTATTATGAAGGAAAAAGCATCCCTGGGCCACATTCCATAGAAAACTCTCTGATTTTTCCAAGGGAATACAAAAAGGGCAGGGATGTGACACAGCCCAGAGAGCAGCTCCATCTCCTTCTGCAACTGGACACCCCAGTTGTGGAAAATCCAGGGGATTTTTGGGGAAGAAACCCAAAAAATGGCACATCTGGAAAGAGCCATCCCTGGTTGGGAGCAGTCAGCAGGTGTGAACATCCATCTGACGACCTCGAGCATCTGAAGGACCACCAGGACCTCTCCTGGTCCTGCTACAAGAACCATAAAACTTCTGCTTGACCATTTCCAGGCAGCTGCTTCCCGAACCCACCAGAGACCAACTACAGATACAATAAAAACCAGTGCTGACATGGGACTGGAAACCCTTTCTCATTCCCCAGGGAGACAGAGAAATAGAAGAAATAAAGGAAACGGTTGTGAACCTTCAGTTCCAGCTCACCCCACAGTCACAAAATCCTTTTTGGGATCCCCAGTGACCAAATCACAGCTGCCACAAAAACTGACGTCAGTGATATGGGAGCAGATGTTCCCTCACCTTCATATTTTTGCTGGATATGAGTGATTCAAGTTTCTGGGCACAAAACCAGTTGGGAAGAGCCTGTTCCCAGAGATGTATGCCTGCTAAAAACACCAGAGCTGGATGCCACTGTGACACGAGGGATGTATGTGCCACCTCCCTTCTCCACCTCCAGCCTGAATCCCATCCTGCCTTCCCTCAAACTCAGCGAAAAGGAGCCAAACCGAAGCAACTGTCTGCATTTGGCTTTATCTGCTACAAAATGTCAAACTCTTCAACGATGGAATTGCAACATTTCCATCCTCCCTCCCTCCCTCCAAAGCAGGGAGACTGGTACAAAGCAGCCAAAAATGGATCAGAAAAAAGAAAGCAGCCACAAATGGACTGAAGATGGAGGTCCCTCTTGGATGACAAAGGGTCCTGCAGGGAAAAACCCACCTGAGTTTCTCCACATTTTCTTGTGTCACCTCTGAATTTGCTTCCCATGCACCATTTACACAAAAATGTGAAATTTTGCACGCTGTAGAAATATTATGACTAATGGATGGAACCTGTGCGACGTGTCAAAATCTTCCCTCTCTGCCCATGTAACAGCATTTCACAGGCACTTGAGACATCAGCACCTACATTTAATCTGTTTCCTTGTGAGAGGATGGAATGCATTTAATGAATTACAGTGATTTTATGTCTCACCAGTAAATTCTGCGCTGGCAGGGCAGCAGAGAAGCCACAGGTTCCTCCAGGCCTTTGCCATGGGATCAACAGGCTTGCATCCCCCCTTATTTATTTTAAAAAAGCACATAGAGCACAACACATCATTTCATATTGATTTTTAAATTATTTTTTTCCCTGCTAATACCCCATTTCCCCATCTCTGATGGCACTGGACTGCATCTCCTCCTCACTCCAGCACACAAAGTGCCCATCCTGCATTGCTGGGACTGCACAGCCTCTCCCAGCAGGGAGAAAGCTCTTGCCCCAAGGTTTCTCTGGGACCATTTATAGTCTGCTAACAATGATGTGCACCAGCACCTCCACCCCTGAAATCCCCTCAGTTTTGGGCAGCCACATTCCCAGGATCACTGAGACACAGCTGGGCTCCTGTGCCCAGACCTGGCCAGGTCTGCAGAGAAACACCTCAGCACCTTCTGCTTTCAGCAGGGATAAAATTATCCATTTATAGTCTTCTAACATGATGTGTACTAGCACCTCCACCCCTGAAATCCCCTCAGTTTTGGGCAGCCACATTCCCAGGATCACTGAGACACAGCTGGGCTCCTGTGCCCAGACCTGGCCAGGTCTGCACCAATGGGAACGGGAGAGAAACATCTCAGCACCTTCTGCTTTTAGCAGGGATGAATTTCCCATTTCCCCTCCTTTCCAGCACCTTTCCCTCCCTTGCTGAGCCGCGCTGCCCGCGGAGCCGGCGCATCCCCGGGCGGAGCGGAGCGCAGGGCTCCGGCTGACGCACAGCCCTGCCAGGTCAGCCATGCTCGCACTCTCCACGTCTGCGGCATCTCAGCCTGGAGCAGAAACCCTGCAAAGCCCCTTCCTGCAGCAAGCCAGGCGAGAAGCACACCGAGAAAAGCCCGAGGGAGGCAGAGGACAGAGCAGGGTCCGCGGGGAGCGGGGTTTGCACGAAAGAGCAGAAGTTTCTTTGCTGGGCCACTGAGGCACATTTGAAGGTGAAGGTTGGACGGGGCTGTGGGAAGCCCGGGCTGCCCACAGCGGAGCGGAACACAAAGAAACCCAGCCCCAGCATGATGAAATTCAAGTTTATTTGCTTTAGCTCGGGTCCAGCTTCCCTCGCTGGCTCAGGAGAAATTTCTTTCATGCTGCTCTGTCTGGGAGCTTTCGTGCAAACCAGGTTTTTAACCAACTCAGAACACAACTCCAGAGAGATGGCGAGTCCTGAGCACCCCGAGATCCAGGGAACCAGAGCATCCTGACTTCTCCAAGCCCTTTTGCTCTGCTCTGGTTCACATCCCAGACACGGAGTGAACGCGGCCGTAGCTGAACCATGAAGGTTCCACGACCCCGGCGCTGCCGAGATTTCTCTTTAAGGGCAGCCAAACCCATTCCTCTGCTCCCGGGCACCGCTCGCCTCCCCTCTGACCATTCGCGGCTCCCCTCCTGCAGGGATTGCTCCTTGTTCCACAGAAACCCTCCCAAAGCCTCCAATGTTCCCCATGGCCCAAATTGCCAAACTCGAACGCAACTTTCACGGGGGCAGAGCAGCCCCCGCCCGCTGTTCATCGCAGCCGTCACATTAAACTGAATTTATGTTGCACCATCCCGGCGCAGCGGGAGCGGAGCCGCTGCCACCCCGGGGCCACCGGCGCGAGTTTCCCCCAACTTTGGGGACCTGGATAAAAGCCCACTCCCCTCTCCAAGCGGGCAGCTGCCAGGGTTCATCCCAGTGGAAAAACCCCAGTCCCCAAACACCCCCAGCCGCAGGAACACGCTCAGCCCCCGGGACATCTCCATCCCGGGGTAGGGGGGGAAAGGAGGAGGAGGAGGAGGAGGAGGATGGTCTCCTCCAAGAGGGACCCAGCCCGGGAGGGGCTGCTGCTGCTCCCCGCCTGAGCCCCTCCTGTGGGGCGGGGAGTGATTATAAAGTAGAATAAAATAAAGAAATAAAATATTTAAATAAATGCGGAAAAAAAAAATAAAATAAAAGCGAAACCAATAAACTCAAATTAAAAAAAAAAAAACCACAACAACAAATAAATCCAAAAAAAATAACATACCATAGAATGAAATGAAATAACACCGTGCGGTCCGAAGCGTACCGGGAGCGGCGCTTACCTGGCGGAGGGGCCGCGCTGCCCCGCGGAGCTCCGCGCTGTCCCCGCGGCCGCAGCCCGGCGTGCGGAGCCCGCGGAGCCCCCGGCCCCACTCGCTGCATTCTGGGAAGCGGCGCCCAAAAATGGGGGCGCGGTGCCCTCTGGTGGCACCTCCCGCCTGCGGGGTGCCCTCGGGGGGGAAGGGGCGCGGGGGGACCCGCAGGGTGATTTGGGGTTCTAATAGGGTGAGGGTATAAATGTATACCGCTGTGTATGTATACGTGTGGTATATACATGCATATATATATATATACACACACATATATATATTATATATATTTTATATATTCACATATGTATGTAATTTCATGGATATCTGGTATGCATATTTTTTATTTATTTATTTATTTATTTATTTATTTATTTATTTATGTTTGTGCCTGTGTAAAAACTTAGAATCCCAGAATGCTTTGCTTTAGAAGGGACCTTAAATATCACAATATTCTACCCCCATGCCATGGGCAGGGACACTCCCACTATCCCAGGTTGATCCAAGCCCTGTCCAACATGGCCTTGGACACTTCCAGGGATCCAGGGGCAGCCACAGCTTCTCTGGGAATTCTGTTCCAGGGCCTCACCACCCTCAGAGGGAACAATTCCTTCCCAATATCCCATCCATCCCTGCCCTCTGGCAGTAGGAAGCCATTCCCTGTGTCCTGTCCCTCCATGCCTTGTCCCCAGTCCCTCTCCAGCTCTCCTGGAGCCCCTTTAGGCCCTGCAAGAGGCTCTAAGATCTCTCCAGAACCTTCTTTTCTCTGTGCCCATTCCCAGGCAGAACCCCAACCACCTCTGGAACATAAATGGGAAGCCCTGGTTTGGAGAGGGAGGGGCAGATGTTGGGGCACATCAGCTCTTGGGGTGGAACTCGTGGCTGGAGGTGCGAGGTTCAGAGCATTCCCCTTGTGAGAACTTGTNTTTCCTTGAAATTTCCTTTCCTTGAAATTTCCTTAAACAACTCCCTCCTCCAGCCCGAGGATCCCATATGGACCCTATAGGACGGGGGAATGCCTTCCCAACAGCCTGGCTGGGGCCATACAGGGTGTGTGGATTTGTACTTGTGCCCTCAGGTGTGTGCACACTTGGGGAGGAACCAAAATAGCAAAACCTGACCCTAAAAATGTCCCGAAAGCTTCTTGTCCCATTTGACACCTGCAGCAGTCTGGGGTACGTGGCCATGGAGGGAGCTGGGCCGTGATGGGGGATTGAAATGTGCTGGGAAATCCTGGGGAGCTGAAACCAAGCTGATCAAGAGATCAGGAGAGAAGCAATCAAAACAACAAGCCAGGTGATGGCAGACATGGCTCTGCTCCGTTCTCCTGGTGCTCCTTTCGCTGGGGCTGCACCTGGAGGCTGCCTCGGGTGACACCCACAGGGCTCCTTCTGGTCTCGGGGTGGTGGGGAGACACAAAGTAATTGTGCACAAAATAACTGCTTCCCCCCAGCCCTCCCAGAGGCCACACACAGGTAAATTATCAACTGTGACAATTAAATTATCCAAGATGATTCCCCGGGGGGGGGTCCGTCCCGGGGCTCAGAGGAAAGGACGCGGGACTCCTCCTGCAGGGTCGCTGATGGGACACGGCCATGGCCGGGCCCACATCTCCCTCGGGGCAGGACATGGAACAGAGCAGGGGGCTCTGCGGCCCAGGCACTGCAGGGCACCAGAAAGGTTGGGAAAAGCATAAACCAGCATGAATCTCCCGTTTGCAGCTCCGGGCAGCACCGAGTTTGATGCGATTTCTGCACATTCCGTGACTCTCCAGCTCTCACGGCGTCCCTACAAACCACATTTGCAGGGACATTTCTGGCCTCTGCAGGATCCCAGCTGCAGTGGGATCGAGGGGCTGGCATGGGAACGCCACCCTTTTTCCTGCCGTACCCATGGATGCGTCCCCAGTGCCGCCACCGCCACCTTCCTGCGTGTGGGACGGTGTTGGCAGGGGTCCCGGGATGAGGGGAGAGATGGGAATGTTGACTCCATGTTTGGGAAGGCTTGACTTCTTATTTTATTATGTGTATTATATTAAAACTATACTAAAAGAATAGAAGCAAGGATTTCATCAGAAGGCTGGCTAAGAATAGAAAAAGAATGAAAGCAAAGGCTTGTGACTGATTGAGACAGTCCGGACAGCTGGGCTGTGATTGGCCATTAATTAGCAACAACCACATGAGACCGATCACAGATGGTCCTGTTGCGTTCCACAGCAGCAGATAATCAATGTTTGCATTTTGTTCCTGAGGCCTCCCAGCTTCTCAGGAGAAAAAATCCCAAGGAAACATTTTTCATAAAGCATGTCTGTGTCACTGCGTGCCATCCCTCCGTGCCACTCGTGCCGCCGGTGTCCCCGGAGCACAGGGTGGCACTGTTGCCTTAAAAATCCCGGCTCTGTTCCTCCGGGGGCGCCGCTTCTCCGGGCTGGATCTCCGCAGCCGTCCTGGCCCCACGGAGGGACCCCCGTGGGCTCNGGCCAGGGTGGGTTTGGGGACTCCGGGTCACAGCCCCACTCCTCCTCTCCTCTGTGCCCAGGCTGCTTGGAAAGGTAATTAATGCATCTCAGGTGGGTAATTAATTCATCTTGGGTGGATAATTAATGCAGCTCTGTGGCAGAATCACCTACGACTAACGAGACTTTGTGGCTTGGCCTCCCTGGGTCAGCACTGCTCTGCCGAGCCCAGCTCTGGGATCCTGCTCAAGGGCTGACCAATAACTCAGCAAACCCTGGGGAGAGTGGGATGGTGATCCCAGTGGGATGGTGATCCCAGTGGGATATGATCCTACAGCCAGCCACGGTGGGATCACCCCAAAAATGGGATTAAAGCCCAAATACCACTCTGAAAGTGAGACCTCACAGGCCTTGTTCCACATTCCTGCTTTGCACCAAATCCCACTAATGTAATTCCTGGGATTGTTTTCTGACAGGAGAAGCTGCAGGTGATGGACAAGACCTGGAAAAGACCCAGCTGTGACAGGAGAGGGGAATTGCTGAGGGACTGTGAGGCGCAGCAATCAGGTGTGTGCACACCTGGAACTCCTCTCTCTCCTTTTCCAGGGCAGGAGAAGCCTCACAGGAAGGACTTGGCTTTCTGATGCCACCTTGTGTCTGCTGCAGACGTGAGGTGACATTTCAGACCCTGCCAGCAGCTCCTTCTGACTCAAAAAGCTTCTTTTTCAACCCAGTTCCCCATTCTGCAGCCTGTGTTCCTGTGGTGGCTTCCTGCAGGCTCCTGTTTGTTCCCAGGGCAGGGATGTGACTCTGTGCACAATCAGGGGCCCTGTCCCAATCAACATTTGGCCAAATTCTGGGGAGGGCTACAAGTATCCCTCAAATCCCAGGAAATCCTGTGTTTTCCTGGTGTGTCTGTCAAGTCTCATGCCCAGAGCAGCAAAGACTGTTCTGAACAGCTTAAATAAAACAGAACATGGTGATTGTCCCCAGGGAGTGACCAAGGATGGGATAGGGGCTCCTTTGTGAGAAATTTTGCCTCTAACTGGTTTTCCTGGCACCATTTCCACAGCTCCAGGTGGCAGCTCGGGCACAGATAATCCAGTGGAGCACCGTGATGGAATCTGTGGAGATTACAAAGCCTGGAAACATTTCTATGGGACATCCAGGTGCGGTGAGATGGACAGGAAAGAGCAAAGCCAGCAAGGAGCATCTCCTCTCCATCGCCTGCAGCTCCTGGGGTACCTTTTGGGGGGCAAATTTAATCTTTTCCACTCCATTTTAATCAGCTCATCAGCAATGGGCACTGACAGCACACCAGCTAAGAGGTTTATGCCTGTTATTCCCTAAAGATCAGCTTTTGGAATCCAAGAGAGGGAAGTGGCTGCATCTCCAGCTCACTGGAGATTTCCTGCAAAACTGTCTCCCTAAAATGCCCTGCTGCTCCTACTTTATTTATTTGCATGACCCATGGGCCATTTCTTCCTTTCCTTTCCCTTTCCCTTTCCTTTTTCCTTTCCTTTCCTTTCCTTTCCTTTCCTTTCCTTTCCTTTCCTTTCCTTTCCTTTCCTTTCCTTTCCTTTCCTTTCCTTTCCTTTCCTTTCCTTTCCNCCTTGAAGGATGGACCAAAAGTCACCGAAGGATGGGGGAGTCACCAAAAACTTTCTGCTTTAAAACATCTTAAAGGACATTATATCCCAATATACCCTATAAAAAATATATTTTTAATAGTAATATAAATATTATTTAAAATTTAAAACAATAATATAAAATATTATAAGATTTATAAATTGTATATTTTAATTATTTTATATTTTAAGAAATTTTATAATTAATAATAATTTATAATATTTATAGAATTTATAAATTTTATTTATATAAAATATCCTAATATTATAGAATTCTAAATATTTATTAGCAATTTTATATTCCTTATATATATATAAGGAATATATATATTATATATATATATTCCTTATATATATATAAGGAATATATATATTATATATATATAAATATATAATATATATAATTATATATAATTATATAATTATATTATATATAATTATATATATATATAAAATTATATATAATTATATAATTATATATAATTATATAATAATTATATATTCCTAATATATTTAAGATTCCTAATATATATATTCCTAATTATATTATATTCCTAATATATACACATTATATTCCTAATATATTCCTAATATTTATTAGGAATTTCTGCTTTTTTGTCCATGCCCTGAAATATTTTCTAGTCTGCAAATCAGAAATATTTATTAGGAAAGCGCCTACCCGCAGCTACCAGAAAATCACAGATTGTCTCCAAATCGACGCCAATCTTAATTTAAATAATTGTCAACCTTACAGAAGCCACAAGAAATTCGTGTTGTCACTTTATCAAGCTGCTCTTCAGCACCAATGCATCAGGAAAATTAAAATTAGAGACAAATGCCTTCAACTGCAGCTACAGTGAGAGGAATCTGAATTTAATTCCAATTTAAAGCTCTGATTCAGCTGGCTAGGTGCACATTTATAAATAAAAAGTTTCCATTCCACCTAAACACCATGA